ATTCCCCTAACTGCTCTTTCCCAATTTTTTTTTTTTTGTTTTTTTTTTTTTTTGAGAGAGAGAATTTTGCTATAGAGTGCGTGCACTCACCAGAGAGACAGAAAGTCAGAAAGTGAGAAATCACCCTCCCTCCAGGGGAGATGGCCACACCACAATCCCTTCTCCTCCATTCTCTCCGGACCCTGGGTATGCATGCAGATGTGCCCCACATGAGTTTTAAGCCACTAGGTCCAGGACTCAAACTGCTATAGATTATGTGGGAGTCCAGCAGTATAACCATCACACCACTTGCTGGCCCCTCAACATTCTTCTTAATACATAGGTGAAAATTAGCTAGAGATTGTGGGATTGATGAACAAAAGATGGAGAAGCAAAAAGTGAAATTTCCAGAAAGGCTTTAAAATAATTCAAGACATTCACCCTCTTTCCACTACCCATCCATCACAGTAAACTTCACTAACATTACTGAGTATCCCATTCTTTTAGATGTGCTAATAAAAACATACAAATGTTTGTGGTTTTAAATTGCTTCATAGTTTTAAAATACTACAGATATTATTTGCAGTTAGATTTTCTTTCTCTTTATGTCATTCTGGGTAAATCATATGGATATACTTACTTTTAAAGATATGGAATAATTTACATATGGATATGCTTACGACAAGGACTGTAATGCAAGTCAATAAATATTTATGGAGACCTACTATGTGTCAGGCACTGTCTTGTGTATGTGGCAAGACAGCAATAAGTCAAACAGATAAAAATGCCTAGCCTTGGACAGGCCGCATGGCCTAGTGGTTGAGGAAGCTGGATCCTACATCGCTAATTGAAGTTGGAGTCTTATCCCAGCGACTGTGGGACATGCCAGGTGTGTGTGGGCACCCAAGGTTACAACAGGAGAAATAGAGAAGAGATTGCACCATGCAAGGTGGGGAGAGACCACCCTTAGGCTTCCATAGCTTGACAACCACTCCACTTTCATCATGACCATTTCAGCACATGTGTGTGTTTTTTTCTTTTTTTTTTTCTTTTTGGAGGGATTTTTGCTATAGGGCACGTGCACTCGCCAGAAAGACAGAGAGAGACAGAGAGACAGAAAGTGAGAAACCACCCCCCAGGGGGGATGGCCACGCCGCAATCCCTTCTCCTCCATTCTCCTCCTGGGATCTTGGGCATGCATGCACATGCACCCGGCGTGAGTTTAAGCCCCCAGGTCCGGGATTCGAACCACGGTCGACTACATGAGAGTCCAACGACATAGCCATTATGCTAACTGCTGGTCTCCAGCACATGTGGTTCCGAATGTATCATAAAATTTGCTTTTAAAAGTTGTGTAACATTCTATGGTATATGAGTATATTAAAATCTATTCAACCATTTCTTTATTGTTAGGCATTCCATTTAGATTTTTTTAATTTTTGCACCAGTGTTGCAATAAACATCCATACTACACACGTATGATTATTTCTTAAGAAAAACAGTCAAGAAACCAGCAAGTAGCATGGTGGTTGAGGCACTGGACTCCTACATGACCAACCATACCTCAAGTCCCGGACCTGGCTGCTTGCCTTCTTGCTTTCTCTCTGTCTCTGTCTCTCTCTCATATGTGCCCTATAGCAGATTTAAAATAATAATAATAATGAATAAAATTGAATAATTATTTTTAAAAAATAGAGAAAAGCAATCTAATCAGGGTGAACAAAAACTACTAGACAACCCACCTACTCATTCTCTGTAACTCCCTTCTCAGTCTCCCAGGTAGCGGGCTCACCCGCTCTGGTACTATCCACCTTTGTGGTGCTGAAGCAGGTACTCACTCTCCTCTATCTGAAGCCATTCCCCACACAGCCCAAATACCCTTGATGCCTTTTGAGCTTTCAGAAATCACCTCTGTCAACCAACTTCTGTCACAAATGCTCTAATCATGCTTCCTATGCAAATCCAAATTCTGCCATGTCGCACAGAGAGCCCTGCCAATCATCTTTCTAGCTTTCTGCCTATAGGTAGAAAGCCATTGTTATCGGTTCTGCCTTAGGCACGGGCCAGTGGCCTTTCACAGGGTGCAAATTCCTCCATCAAGATGTGTGTACATATATGTGATTCATTGCACAGCGTCATTTTTGAGACGAGGTTGTATGTAATGGGGTTGCACCCGTAAGAAAGCTAGCTTCTTGAATATGGTTCTTTCCTTCTCTTTTTCTTACGAACATTCCTAATCCTCTTTGCACATAAGTCCACATTAATTGGAACTGCGCCTTCCCTCGGCCATTTCCCCTACCCTTTGGAAAGACACATTTCCTGAAATTTAAATCACTAGCTAGCGGTTTCCTGCACCGCTCTCCTTCCTCCTCTCAGCCTCCGCCTGCCTAGCTGAGATCGGATCCTCGGGCAGCTCGGTCCACGTCCCTTAGCTGACCGAGGCAGTGTCCCGATTCCGGGGTCTCGCTCCGTGGTGTGGTAGTCGCTTAACCCCAGTGCCCCGCAATCCTCCCCTGCTCCCGCCCGGTGCTTTCTAGGAGGAGCCTAAATGTCCGCTTGCCCAGTTGAAGGGGACTGTGGAGCGTAAACAGGATTAACTCTCCCTCCTCCAGCAGCGCGGATCTGCGCGCGGCCTGCGGGCCCAGGCGAGCCCTCGGGTGCGCGGAGAGCTGCAGGGGCAGCGGGGGATGGGGCAGCCTGCGGCCTCAGAGCGGTCTCTGGGGCCCGCTTCCTCGCGGAGAGGGGCGGGGGGCCACAGCCTCTGGAGCTGCTGCTCAGAAGCCCGGGCGGACAGCGACGACAGCGCGGGCTCCTAGCGGCAGGCTCCCCGCCCGCCACCA